AACTTTTTGAGGAACCTCCATACTGTTTTCCAGAGTGGCTGCACCAGCTTGCATTCCCACCAACAGTGTAGGAGGGTTCCCCTTTCTCCACATCCCCACCAACATCTGTCGTTTCCTGACTTGTTAATTTTCTTGCTCACCTCTTAATGCCCTGCATTATCAGAAGTCATGGACGGTTTGGGCATTCATAGACATAAACTCTAACAATGCTCAGAGTAAGAAAACACACAAAACACCTCACGTTCAAGGTCACTGTATCACCCAGATGTCTATAATACAATCCATAATAATAAATTGGATTTGCTGGACTGTTTTCAGAATATAATTCAATCTTAACTTTCTGGGGCTTCCATTTTTATGTCTTTCTGATTCACCCTTTTTCCTTCTTTACTCTTAAGAGGCTGAAGGAAACCTTTATAGAGTAGCCCAAGCAAGCAGGGACTAGGTTTACAATCAGGCTATCAGAATTTAAATAAAAGAAATACAGACGCTCATTGTTTACCAAAGTATAGTACACTTATTCCTGGAGTTACATAAGATGATTTCAGATGATGCACAAATAAACTTTAAAGCATTATATAATAGTTATATATTTATTTTGCTATGTGTTAGAAAAAAAAATCCCTAGTATCAAATTGATGATTTAATGGATATTATTATCTCTGGCAGGAATTGCCATTAAAATCTGTCCAATCTCCTTTGGCACACAACCAGACCAGATCTCTTGGCCTTCCTTACAATTAGATTGGCCATGCAGCTATGTTCTTTCCAATGGAATGTGAGTAGAGGTGAGGAGGGCCACATCCAGGCCTGGCCCAACCCCTCTGTTAACTCCTCTGTGCTTCTTCTAATTCCAACTGACTAGAATTGGCACCCAGGAAAACATGAGAAACTATGAGTTAAAGATGGTAAAGCTGCCATGTTCTAGATCAGGAGTCAGAAACTGGCCCATGGGCCAAATCTAGCCTGCCACCTGTTTTTCAAATAAAACAAAACAAATAAAATACAAATAAAAAACAAAGCAAAATAAAACAAAACCTTTTTCAAATAAGGTTTTATTGAAACGCAGCCGTGTCCATTTGCCTGGGTGTTATCTATGGCTGCTTTTGCTAAAACAGCAGATTGAGCAGCTGCCACAGAGACCGTATGACCCACAAAGCCTAAAATATTTACTACCTGGCCCTTTACGGAAAAACTTTGCTGACCCCTTGTTTAGATCACTGGAGGAACCGCACCACGTTTCTTTACATAAGCAGAAATAAACCACTGACATTCTGGGATTATTTGCTACCATAGTTTACCCTACTCTCACCATATATTCTTACTCAGCAGAAGCTAAACTAGGCAGTCCCATGTGATTGCCTGATGGAGATGGCATGGGGTTGCCAGTTGGAGATGAAACATCTCCAGTTGTCTGTGCCTTGTGGAATGACCTCTTATGCCCATGGCGAGTGAAGCACTCCCCTCCCGAAGCCACCCCCAGGTCAAACTTTCCCACAGGTGTTCTGCCTCAGTCAATCCTAGGACATGGGCTCATATTTCTTTGAGGGCTTGTTCTAGTAGGTGCTCTCCATGTGTCTGTTGAGGAATTTGTTGGAGAGATTTGGGGGCATAACTTGGAGGCCTCAGAGGTGTCTTCTCCCCTAAGATCTGTCTAAACGCTTGAGAGTTAAGGCCAGTTTCTAGGATTTCACTCTTCAGACCATCTAGCTCCATGCGAGAAACCTTAGGGAGTTTCCCAGGGGAAAAGCAATCAGCCCAGTCAACTGCCACTGAAGCAAGAAGAGCTGTATTATTCACAGAGCTGATGGGATGCAAGGAGGCCATACACATTAAGCAAAACTAAGGTCTGGCGTGAGGCTTTGTAAGCTCCAGCCTCACCCATTACTCTGCAGAATCATCATGAGCCAGGAATGGGCTTCCAGGCTGCAGCCAGACATGGCAAGGCCTGGGAGTAGCTGCCTGTTTGCAGAATTGGCTAATGTCACAAGCAGGCATGTGATTAAATAGTGAGATCGAGGGAATGATCCCTCCCTCCCTTTTATATTTTGCTAAGACAGTATTCAACAACTTTTTTAGGCTGAGAACCAGTGCTTTTTCCCAGGCTGCAAAGATGGGCTGGTCAGGGCAAAAGGTATAATGGTTATATGCCTTAACGTGTGTGTGTGTGTGTGTGTGTGTGTGTGTGTGTGTGGTGTGCTAAAGTGGTTAGAAACAGTCTTGTTGTCATCTTAGGAAGACAAGCCAGATTGTCCCCTGTGGAGAGAGATAGGGGTCCTCTTTCTTAGGGTGGTCTTTATAACTCCTGTTTCTTTCCTGGATGAAAGGGAGGAGCCCCAGCCCAGGTCAGTCATCATGGAAGTGATCACCTCTGGGGACTGACTATAGTGCTGTCACAAAGCCCTTGGCCCTATCCCAGTGCTCCCCTCACTGGCCTGCCACAGCGGCTAGAAGGAGTGCAAATTACCATGTTTTTTTGAATTGGGGTCTCCAGATGCTTCATTTCAGCTCTAACCTATGGCCTTGGCCAAGAACCCGTGAGCTTTTCTGAGTGTCATGTGCTTTGTGGCTGCTGGTTGCCCAGTTCTCTCGGATGTCAATATTGTTCTGGCCTGGACAAGAGCAGGCTTGCCCAAGGACAGCAGGAGAAGAGTCCGAGCATAGAGAAGGCAGAGCTGCCCCTTGACCGCGCCGGCCTGGAGACAACCCTGCTCCGCATCTGCTTCCTCTCCACTGACAAGAACACATCTCATGTCTCCAGTTAAAGGCAGGGGGCCTGGGGTGTGTGACTCCTGGCTGGACAGTGACTTCTCCACCGCAAGTCCGTCTCCACGGGGAGAGGAGCACCATGAAGACGGAGCGAGCAGCAAGCACCTCTGCCGCCCGGTCACTACCTGTTCCAAGAACCCAGCACTCCTGTTTCCACCCATCCTCCCAGACAGCCTCAGAGTCTGGGAGGGGTCAGCAGGGAGGTGTAGGCGCTTTAAAGGGTGGAGATGGAGAGGCTCCCAGGAGAGAGAAACCATAGCAGCTCACCCAAAGGCAAATCAAGGCTCCCAGGAGAAAGAAACCATAGCAGCTCACCCAAAGGCAAATCAAGCATGTGCTTAGGGAACCAACAAAGTCAGTTTGTCAATAAGGTTTGGACAGCACAACAGATTGGATAAGAGTATGGTCTGGAACATTATGCAACTCTTGTTCAATCCCTAGCTCTTCCTATACTTGATGTTCCTTGCCCGTGCTGAGTCCCAGGAGATGGGAGTATCAATTCACAGGGTTCCTTTGAGAACCGAGTGAGGTACTGCATACAAAGCACTCAGCCCCTTGTTTGCCGCACAGGGAGCCCTCAATAAATATTTGTCACACGGATGCCTGAATGAATAGAAGTGGAAAGTATAAATAAGTAAAAACACAATACGACAGCCAGAAAATGGCTGTTGTAATACAAATTAGATGTATAACCTTCCAGGATTTTTTTCTATGCAAAGATATGCTTTTACTAAAATGGGCTATTATACATGACTGGATTTTTAAGTATTTATTTTATTGAAAGATAATTCATGTGGCTCGGTCAGTTAATCGTCCAGCTCTCAGTTTTGGCTCAGGTCCTGAATTCAGGGTCTTGGGAGTGAGGCCCTCATCAGGCTCCGCATTCAGGGCAGAGTTGGCTTGTCCCTGTCCCTCCCCCTCTCCTCCTGCCCCCACCAAATAAATAAATAAATAAATAAATAAATAAATAAATAAAATCTTTTTAAAAAAGAAAGCTAATGCACATACCATAAATTCACTTTTTTAAGTGTACAATTCAGTGTTTTTTTGGTAGGATATTCACATAGTTGTATAATCATGAGTGCAATCTAAACCCAGAACATCTCATCACTCCACAAAGAAGCCTCCTACCCATTATCAGTCATTCCTCATGCCCCTCTCCTCTTCCCCAAGCAACGTCTAATCTTTTTGTCTCCATGCATTTGCTTATTCTGGACTTTTCATATAACTAGAATCGGATAACATGCGGCCTTCTGCATCTCGTTTCTCTCATTAGTGTATGGTTTTCCAGGTTCATCCATGTTGTAGCAAGTATCCATACTTTGTTTCTTTTCATGGCTGAATGATATTCCATTGTATGGCTCCCTGCTCAGCTGGAAGCCTGCTTCTCCCTCTCCAGCTCCCCCTGCTTGTGTTCTCTCTCTCACTGTCTCTCTCTGTCAAATAAATGAATAGTATCTTAAAAAAAAAAAAAAAGCATCTGTCTGCTCCTGCCTGCCTTGGGAAATTCACAGTGCTCTAAGTTTAGAGTTCTGCAAAGGAGAAGCCCTTATGTAACAGGCTGCTGGACGAATCTGTGGCTATCTGCAATCGGAGACTCAGTCCAGTTTGTTTGGATGAAAGAGGGTGAACTCTGGTGGGGGGCGTGGCCCAGAGGCCCTGCAGAGGTTCAGAGCCATAGGGCTGTGGGGTGGGAGTGGGGCAATGGGGCGGGTCCTGAACAGACTTTTTAAGTGGTGTAGAGGGCTTGAGGCCCTGGAGCCGCAGTCCCTCCACAATGTGGCTCTTTGCTCTGGTCCTGACCTCCCTCGCCACTTCCATGACTTGGGGTGAGTCCTTCCGAAATAAAATAGCGGGGTGCATTTGGAAATCCTTGCCTGGGTGCGAGGTGAGGGAGAACGAGGTGGGGGAGATGCATGGAGGGGAAGGGTATGGCAGGTCCAGATCTGCAGCAGCCAGCGCCCTCTGGACTTCACCTGCTTGGTGCCCAGCCAGTCCCTGCCAACCTGAGACACAGGGTAGCATGAACACTCCCAGACTGCAGCTGTGTGTGCCCCGTGCAGGAGGGCAAAGAGCTAACCTCATGCCTCCCCGGTTGGGGATTCCAGAGAGCTCAGTTTATTTTCTGCTTGATTATTCGTCTGTGTATGGCCAAATCATGGAGAGTGGCTTAGCAGAATATTAATAGGAGTATCCCGGGCTTTCTGCAAGTTGCATCAGGCCTCTTCACCTTTAGGGAAATCCGACATTACTACAGTAATGGAAAAGCGAAAATCCTCCTCGGATTTCTTTGGGCTACCGTAACAGGGACTAATGGAGGTCTTTCCTAAAAGCAAAGTGGCTTAATACAACCTGCAGGAAGTCCAGGATACTCTTTGCTTTGTGCCATTTCTGCTTAGGAAAAGTTTCATAGAACACTCTACCCTCAGATGGCAGGCTGGGGACCTGTATGCACTGTGGATCCAGAGTGTGTAGGTTTGAATCCCAGCTCAGCACTTACCAGCTGGCTGTCCTTAGGCATCATGCTTTAGTTTTCTGTGCCTTGGTTTCCCCCACTCTAACATGGGAACGACGGCAGTAGCTATGTCATTGGGCCGTTGTGAGGATAAAACAGGTTGTTTCTAAAGAGTGCCTGGTATGGAGAGTGCAAACAAAGGATTTATAAATAAAGGAGTTGTTTTAAAATGTAGTGTAGTAATAGAAAATTTGATGTATGGTGAGGCCAACAGATCAGGAGCCAATGGCCATAACTTGCCACTCCCAGTTCCCAGGAGGAGGAGGCATGCACCCCACCATCTTGCACCCTGAGATGATGCTCAGGATGGGCTAACGGAAGAGGGAGGAGGGAGGAATTTTGGGCAAGAGCCCTTATCGTGGTTGTCAGGGGAAGGAAGAGGTGAGACAGGATAAGCAGGTTTTGGATTGGCAAACTAACCAATTTCAGCAAGTTCTGGGACACAAAGGCTTCCCACAGTTCTTGCCCTGGAGTGATTAGGGCAGGATGGTAATGGCTTAGCCTGGGATGGCCTGATAAAGAAGGTGATTGGGGACAGGCTCTGCATGCTGGAAGGGAAGTTGATTTCTATCGCTAGAACTGGCTAACTCTGAGAGGGGCAGTCCCTCCAGGGTCAGCAAGGCCCCAGAGGTCAAGCATCAGCATACACAAAATAAAGCACATGATTACTACAGGAGTGTAGCACGGGACCCCAGAATGCATCTGTGCCAGTTTATAGGCAGGCAGACGGACTCAGAGAGGGAAATGGACTTGCCCAAGGTCCACTGGAAAATCATGCTCTGGAATCTGTCTATGACTCATGCATGGAGAGCCAGGGCTGAGACCCTCAGAACCGTGGGGGCCCAGGCCCCATCTGCACTTCACCTTCGTTCTGATGGTGACACTGTCGGAAACCTGGGACTGAACGTGAGGGCAGAGTAAGAACCGAAGGAGGAGGGGATTATTCCCTTACTGCCGGTTACCCCCTGGCAAGGCCATCCCATTTCCCACTTTAGAAAGTCCATGCTGGCTGCCTCCATTTCCTCAGCTTCCTCATCTGTAAAATAGGCATCTAGTGAAGACGAATTTAAGTGAACCAGAATGCACATCTGGCACATAGTAAGTACTCAGCATATAAAACTTACATGTGTACTTATGTAATACAGAATAAACATTACCTGGGTACTTATGTAATATGACAAGTGCTGACTGCTCATGTTACCATAACTGTTATGCTTCTCACCCCATCCACACACTTGCTCACCCTTGCCCATTGGGCTTCTGTCCACTTCATCTTGTTGCGGGTTACCACTGGATATTCTCCTCTAAGACCAAATCTGGATTGCCCTTTCTTGTTCTGGCCACATACTTGGAGGGAGAGGTTGACCTTTTGTCTATGTCTACAAGGGAGCAATTGGAAGGATGCCAGGCGAGAAAACATTTCAGATAAGGAAACACACACACAGAGGCTGCTGAGGCAGGACAAGGCAAGACTTGGAGGAGGGCCGTGGTCGAGAGTCCTGAGTGCCAACTTGCACACGCAAGCTCAGGCAGGTCCACAGCAGGTGGAACCAGGACTGGGGTGGAAGGGGCAAGGAGACAGGGGAAGCTCGGTGGGGAGGAACCTCCTGCCCCACAAGGACGGAACAGGTAGGACTCGGACCCCTAGTCTCTCTCCCCCTCTGGACAGCCTTGCTCAGAGCCACCAGAAGAATCCGCTGCGAGATGAAGCGTGTCGCTCTTGCATACTCTACGAGTGTTCACTGCTCCTCATGTACCCACTAAATAAAGCCCCAAACCTTAGCCTTGCACTGAGGCCCCCCAGGCCTGAACCTCTCTCACAATACAGGCTGCTGTCTGCTCCCCATTGACTCCCTCCGGCTCACATGGACCCTTCCTTCTTCCTCAGGCCAGCCTTTGCATTTTGCTCTCAGAGCCTAGCCTCTGCTCTGCCTTACACCTGTATCCCCCCTCTTCTATCTCCTGCTGTTCGCTCCCCCCTCCCTCCCTGCCTCTTCCAGCCCCTGTGGGGACCTCACTGGCACCTCTCTCAGGACACCAGCCCCTTCCTTCCCACCGAGTAGGGTCAAGTGTGTTGGTGGCTCATGCCCCCTCCACTGTTCAGGGATTCCCAGAGGAGGGATGGCCTCTCTTGTTCATGCTGCGTGCCAGGATGCAGCTCAGCGCCTGGGGCCTAATGGCTAATTGTTGCCGGAGGCTCCTAGGAGTGGCAACCAAACAGCTTGTTCCCCTCAGCAGCTCTCATTCTTGCATTTCTTTTTTACTTGATGCTATTATACCTCCAATTCCAATTTGCTCCTCTAGATAGACCCGTGTAAAAAATGACAGTTAACCTCCTCTCTTTACATAGAAGAAACCCAGGCCTCGAGGGTTTAGGTGACTCATTCAAGGTCACCTGCTCAAGGTGGAAGACTCACCATGAGTCCAGGTCAGACCTTTCGCTGCTGATGTGTCTTCTTTCCTCTGGACATCCAGGAGGGCACCCGTCCTCGCCACCTGTGGTGGACACCGTGAAAGGCAAAGTCCTGGGCAAGTACGTCAGCTTAGAAGGATCTGCACAGCCTGTGGCCGTCTTTCTGGGAGTCCCTTTTGCCAGGCCTCCTCTTGGACCCCTGAGGTTTGCTCCTCCACAGCCTACAGAGCCATGGAACTTCGTGAAGAATACCACCTCCTACCCTCCCATGTAAGTTGGCAACTCTCAGTGGGCATGTTGGCCTCAAAGTGATGCGGGAAGGAGCCAAGGCAACGTGCTGAGTGGCTTTGTTCCAAAATCTCCAAGCCGTTGTAAATCTTTAAAAAACCTTCCAGAACTCACAGCTCTTTATTCAACAAACATTAACTGAACACGTTCTAGGTTTCTTAGGATCTGTGAATGTACAGAAAAGTATCCCTACCTTCACGGAGCTTGCATTCTAGCAGGGAGAGATGGATGACAAACAAAAAATAGCAAATCAATGAATAAATTATGCAATACGTTAGACTATGGTAAGTGCCTTGGGAGAAGATTAGAAGTTGAGCACGTGAGGGAGATCAAGAGTAACAATTCTCCTTTCTTGAACTTTGCCATAGTTGGGGAGCCGGGGTAGACCAGGAGGTGTGTAGGTGGGAGGTACTTTGGGGAGTTGACCCGGAAAGTTCTCAGTTCTCATGTAGCTGGTGTGTCCTATCACCCTGATCAAGCTGGGCAAAGAAGCCAACAGCTGCCTCCCCCAGGCACCTCAGATGCCTACATGTATCCATTATGACCTTATTCACCTCAGCAAGGCATTCTGGAAATGTCCAGGGTCCTGCCCCCTGCTGCTTTCCCTTCTTCTCTTCTTCCTCCTCCCTCCCTCCCTTCCTCCCTCCCTCCTTTCCTTCCTGCCTTCCTTCCTTCTTTCCTTCCTTTTGTTTTAAAAAATAGTATTTGCTCTTTTTACTCCTGATTGCCAATGTAATACATACGTATTACAGAAGAGGGAGGAAGTACAGGTAAGTAAAGGTAAGAAAATGAAAATCACATACAATTCCTCCACCGAGAGAGAGAGAACTGCTATTCATATTTTAGATTTACTTTCTCTAATCTTTTATCTGTTGCATATTTTCTCCCTTAAAAATAGAATCCATAAGACTCTGCAGTTTCAATGTGTGGGTCCTCCCCCTCACACACACACCAAGAAACAAATCTCTGACAGCAGCTGCATGTCCTACAATTCAACTAATTCTTACACTGCTCTGCCTGGAGATAATGTCAGATCCCACAGGTTAAGGACTTGGCCCCACAAGACTGCTCTCTGCTTCCGATGCCAATTACAAGTCCAAGTTGCTACCCATGCTTGTGACCTTGGCCATAAATCAAAAGTTCCTCTGACTCCCTCCTTGGGTTCCATTAATTTGATCGAGTGGTCATAGAACTCAGGAAACTGGTTTATTCACTACATTACCAGTTCATTGCAAAGGTTATTAGGGGATATGAATCAATAGCCAGATGAAGAGATCCATGGGGTCAGGTCCTGAATAAAGGAGCTTTTGTCCTTCTGGAGTTGGGGATCCAGCACAGTGGCCGTGAAAGCTTTCTGGTTCGCCAACTTGGAAACTCTCTGAATTCTGTCCTGTGTTTTTTTAAGGAGGATTTGTTATGTAGCCATGATTGATGAAACCAGTGGCATTGGCCACCATTCAACCCCCAGCCCTACCCTGCTCCCCAGAGGTCAGGGAGGCAGAACTGAAAGTTCACTGGGTGGTTCATGTGGCAACCAGCCCCTAGCCTTAAGTGTGATCAAAAGTCACATTAGTTACATAATAATGATATCTTTATTGTTTCCTTCACAGAGGAGATTCCAAGGGTTTTAGGGCGCCTGTGGCTGAAATGGGATGGAGGCTGATATATATGTATTATAAATCACAATATCATATCACACGATACAGATAGTTTGGATGCCTGCTTTGCTCATTTATAAATATACCGGGGCGAGGCGGGGCGGGGGGGGGGCGCCTGGGTGGCTCAGTCGTTAAGCGTCTGCCTTCGGCTCAGGTCATGATCCCAGGGTCCTGGGATCGAGCCCCGCATCGGGCTCTCCGCTCCGCGGGAAG